ACCTCAGCACTTTGCTGGGGACTCTCTCCTATCGTTTCTTGCTCCAGCTTCATTTCAGCTGTAAGGGAGTGCGACGGGATACAGCTTACAATTCAGCTTTACAGCTTTACAATTAGCAGGCTTAGCAGGCTTATTCTAGAAAATAATCAATAACTGCTCACTTATTTGGAAATACAAACTTTACATCTCTTAGATCGTTAGATTAATCAATACACAATGGTATTGTCGCAGGTAGTTGTTTCGTTGGGGCGTGACAGCTCCAACTTCTGTTTCGTGTGGGAGTGCTCAGTGGTATGATCAAAATCAATCCCACATGATTGATAATGTGAGCTCAGTTTTGCAAGCAAGCCAATCTCCGATGGAGAATGGCTTGCGTGCTCCTTGTGCTGCTCACTTAGCTGCTTCTTTTAACAAGTGGGTTACTATGGACTTCTTTTGTGTTTCGATGAATGCGGTCAAGTCCCTTACCGATTGGGATCGAGGGACGCCTGCGTGGAAAGCGAGGGACGCCTGCGTGGAAAGAGCATCCGACTGACTGACTGGACTCGACTATGTCAGTCGGTCTGTGATCAGTAACTGTTGGGAAGAACAAACTGCCAACAACTTTCAACAACATCGTCTTCAAACATAAAGTGGACATACGGCCACAACAACAACAACCTCCTACAACCTCCTCCCCACCGACCCCCTCCCCACCGACCCACCCGATGTCTCGGAAGCCCCGAACTGGTTGCCATGGCAACCTCAGCATCTCCAAGTACCGAGCAATTGCCAAAGCCAAGGCCGCGCATGCAATGGCACAAGACCCGACGGACAAAGCCAAGGCAGCAGCAGTGCTCATCGAACATGGACTCCTGATGTCCACCAACGAACAGTTGAAATCCAAGGATTTGCTGGATTCCAACGTTGACGAGGATGAAGCCAAGAATGAAGATGTGATGCAGGAAGCCATGATTTACAAGGTCTCTGGCCCAGCCACTGCCAAGGCCAAGCACCGAGCAATTTCCAAAGCCAAGGCAGCGTATGGAATGGCAAAAGACCCGATGGACAAAGCCAAGGCAGCAGCAGTGCTCATTGAACATGGACTCCTTCCGTCCGCCAACGAAGAGTTGAAACCCAAGAATCCCAAGGATTTGAAATCCAAGGATGAGGAAGAGTTGAAACCCAAGAATCCCAAGGATTTGAAATCCAAGGATGAGGAGGAGCCGCAGGAAGTGCATGAAGATGCCAATATGCAGGAAGCGCATGAAGCGACGCATGCCAATATGCAGGAAGCGCATGAAGTGACGCATGAAGTGACGCATGAAGCCACACATACAACGATTGAAGAAATCGTCTTGTGCTTGGCGAGTGCAGGTATCGTTTGGGTGGTCTTCGATGCATTCAAAGCTTGAAAGTGGTGAGGCCTTTGATGCATTCAAGCCTTGAATGCAGTGCAGGTTTGCCCTTTTGCAAAGTCTTTCAATTAAAAAATAAAATATTAACATCATCAACATCCAACGCGCCGTGAAAAACCACTTTTGGTGCCTTGAAAAGCCATTGAGAGTAGCCATCCTGCTCCATGAGAGTATCCGGCTGGGACTATTGAGCCTCCCGGCGACAAGACTCAACTCCAACGAAAAAGTCTAGGCACCGAGAAAGACACAACTCCAACGAAAAAGTCTAGGCACCGAAAGACACCACGCAGACATCTCAGAGGAGAGGTTGTGAAAGACATCTCAGAGGAGAGGTTGTGAAAGACACGCCGGCATCTCAGAGGAGAGGTTGTGAAAGACACGCCGCAGGCAGAGGAGAGGTTGTGGCGAGGCAGAGGAGAGGTTGTGGCGAGGTTGTGGCGGCATCTCAGAGGAGAGGTTGTGAGGAGAGGTTGTGGCGCAGGTCTCAGAGGAGAGGTTGTGGCGCAGGTGTTTGACGGATGAACGAAAGTTTGACGGATGGACAACCGGACGATCACAAGACAACACGAAATGCAAGACAACAGCTGACAAATGAACGAAAGACAACCGGACGATCACAAGACAACACGAAATGCAAGACAACAGCTGACAAACGAATGCAAGATAACACACAACAAATGCCAGGCGCACACCGGTGGTTTCTTCTATTACAAGGTACAGTCCTCTTCAGAATACTCCACAGAAAAGAGTGGCTCACCATTTTCGAGAGCCAACTGTGTGATCACAGCAACTGCCATAAAAGCCGGCTGATGCTTGTCCACGTCGTGCCGGAACACGCGGTGTAGAATGTTGAACATTTTGAACCGGTGGTTCACAGTCTCGTGCCAGCCTCTGTCCTGTGCTGCCAACTTTGTAAATGCAGCAGATATATCATCCGCAGGCATTACAATATGATCTGGTTCACCAGGGTATCCACCATCTGCATGGACCTTTTCTCCCGCCGTCAGCATGCCTTTCAGAGCCTTCCGAAAAATCTTCAGATCACTCCAGGCGCCACATGGAAATGGACCATGAATCCAAACAATCCATCCAGTTCGTATGCATAGCCCAACTTCATACCGAACCCCCGGCCCCCTAAACTTGTGGGAAAACCAACCTTTCCAAAAAGGCGTCAACTCGAAGATTCTGAAGTCGGTGCCATCCACAGAAACTAAGCACTCGTTGCCTATGGAATCCATGAACCTATTTTTCCAAAGAATCTAAATATAAAAGTTAGAGCTTGCGGAGGCCTCTACCAGCAGTGAATTGACTTACTACTCTATACTCCAAATGTGCAATCTCGTGCACATAGGTCCATGCCCATTTTCTGAAGGTTTTCTCATCTACCCCACCTACTAGTGTTCTCAAAACACGTTCCGCACAATAAAGCTTCAAGAGCATTAAAGCCCAGAGCAGATGCATTGGCTTCCCCTTGGGGATGGCATCTATCATCTCCCAAAGCACGGCACAAATGGTGGCAGAAGTGCCAAAATGCGAGCGAAACCTTTGCTCTTCAGTTTTGGCACTAATGTTCCTGCTGTTTTTCATGATGACATTGCCCTCTTGACGAAACAGGGCTTCAATCATGCTTTCTCAGCTTGGTTGATTGAGTGGTTACTGTGGCTCGAGGTGGCTTGTTTCTAACTTGTTGATGTGGCTTGTTTCTAATAACTTGCTGTGGCACCGTTTTGGAAGCAACCTCCTGCCTTCTACTTGGATCGCTTGTTGAACCAACAGAATGCTAACCCTAAACCACGAGGTGCGGTAGGGTCTGGACAGTAGGTTCTGTACAGTAGGTTCTGTACGGTAGGTGCTGGACAGTAGGTTCTGTAGGTTCTGAGCATGCAAATAACTATAACTTCTTCTCAGCTCCAACACAGAAGAAACAAGCAACAAGCAACCTGGGTTCAAGACAAATAAGAAATAATTAAATTAAACTTAGTGGTTTATTGCCGTTCTAGTAGCTAGACTAACTACAGTAGCTAGCCGATGCTCCTCGCGTATCCCAGATCCTAGAGTATCCCAGGCCGCGCCCAGATCCAGCCAGCCAGCGAATATGCCCCAAGAACAAGGCCGCCAGCAAGTCAATCGTCTAAATTGAGCCCAGAAAAATTGTACACAAACTCTTCGATTTTCCCAGACGATTTATAATTGCTCCTGACCCCGAGCAACTCCAGTATCAAACACTTTCCCCACTCCTTCCGATGTCCGCGCAACGGGAATTGAATCATGTAGGTTTTGGTTGGCACTTCAGCATCCGTGAACTGCTCTTCCACAGGAAAGAGTGTGTCTACACGGAAGATAGACTTGACAACACGCTTGGCATCATTCCGTTTGAGGACCTTCACTGATTCTCTAAAGTTTGTAACCTTGATATGCCCCTTGGGGTAAAAGGGAGTGTTCCTGTCCCTGGATCCCATCACCATGGCAACTCGGCTGCTGAGCAAAACCTGACTCCAAGTCAGAGCCAAAGTCACTTGACGGCCCCCAGATTCAATTCTAGGCTCTAGTGCATCAAGTTCGGTACCAGTAGGAAGCAAAATCATGATGGTAATGTGTTTGTCTTCTTTAGAATCAGTCCACGCAAACTGATGGTAGGGCAACTCCAAAGGAATCTCATCGTTTTCAGCCAACTCACTCGGAAAAGAAGGTGGTGGTGATCCCATGGGTGAGGCAGCTGTCTTCTTGGGCTTGGGTGTCTTGGGCTTGGGTGTCTTGGGCTTGGGTGTCTTGGGCTTGGGGTCAGGAACTGCATCATCCATCTCCTCGTCATCGTCGGACCCAGGGGGTCCGCCTGATGCTGCGGCAGCTTCTGTATCATGACGTAAAGTAAAGTTAAATGAAGTATAGTAAGTGAACAGCAAAGTAAGTGAGAAACAACACGCCAAGCCAAGGCACAAGGGTAGGTCTTTCCAGCATCTACTGACTCTGGAGCTCCTCCTTTACTTTGTCTAATAAAAATTTCAGGGACTGTTTGAAGCCTCTATTGTCGTACTTGTCGCCCTTGCCCTTCTTCATTTCAGAAAAGTTCCTGTTAGGGTCTTTCCATAAATCATTCCAGTTAGGGTTTTCAACATCGTAAGCTCTGTCCTCCGTATCCATAAACCTGCCCCACACGTAAATGTAGTCAGCAGTTTTTTGTTTCAGGCCCCCCATGGTCCTTTTTTGCACTTGCTGCTGTCTCCTTCTGTGACAATGATTGAATGACTTGTGACAATGATTGAATGACTTGTCACCAGCACCAGCATTCGCTGCTGCCTCTTCTGATAATGATCTCTCCAGCCCTTTTCATGGGCAAATTTGAGGCATTCCAAATTACCACCTGAGGCAGCATGAGAACATGTCCATTGGTTCCATCCACATTCGTATATCGGGTGCGAAACGTATCATTGATCGGGTGCGGGTGCGAAACTGCAATGAACTGCGGTAGGGAAAACTGGCCCGGCTGGCTTCCTATCAAGTAGACTTTAGTCACTTGATGGATCCTGGAAGATTGGATCGGCCTGGTTGCACTTTCCGATTGATTCGATTCGCATCCAAGAGCTGGGTTGCCACCACAAGATCATTCCTGTTCAATCATTTCCTATTCGAGCAAGGAGCCGCTACGACTAACACTATCAAAGCAACCAAAGACTAACATTAACAAAGCAACCAAAGATGGCCTCTCCGATTGGTGGCTTGAGCGATGATATTTGGACTTCGAAGATCCTTCCACTCCTGGGCATGGGACAATATGCCTACATTGGAGCTACCAGCAAGAAATTCAACCAAATCTACAAGGAGTACTGTGAACTTGTCAAAATGAAGCCACGAGTCTATGCTGTCAGAGTTCCAGGAGGCGCACGAGAAGAAATCATGGAAGCAGCCGCAACTTTCACATTCTACAGCACTGCTTTCTTCAACGTGGAATGTGCCAAATACTGGACACATTCTACAGCTCTTTCTTTCAGATGGATTCTGCTAAATACTGGGACGTGTGTTGGAACAAACGTCCCACCAAAACAAGGCATGCGAAAAAATTGCAAAACATGGAACACTGAAAGTCCTGCAATGGGCACGGCAGACATTTCCATGGGGCCTCGTACCATTGCTGCCCTAGCCAGTCGCGGACATCTAAAAAGCATCCGATGGGCGTCGAGAATGGCTGTTTGATTTTCCCTCGTGACTGCAGTCCATGGGATGCTGCTGCAGGTGGTGGGCACCTTGAAGTACTAACATGGGCGTACAGCAATGGATTCGAAGCAAGTAGGCGTGGTTGCGCAGATGCAGCAGAGGGAGGGCACCTGGAAGTGCTCAAGTTCCTTCATGCAAATGGT